ACCTGATTGTGCCTAACTGCCCCTACTGCTGACCTGATCACCCCCAACTGCCCTCCCATGCTGGCCTGTTTGTCCCCAACTGCCCCCTCCTGCTGGACTAATCACCCCCAGCTGCCCTTCCTGCTGGCCTGATTGCCCCTAACTGCCCCATTGCTGGTCTGCTCACCTCCAACTGCTCCCCCCCGCTGGCCTGATCACCCCCAACTGCCCTCCCTTCCTGGCCTGATCGCCCCTAACCGCCTCTGCCTCGGCTCTGCCACAATGGCTTTGTCTGGAAGGACGTCCGGAATGTCTCCCAGAAGGTCTCCCGGTCTAATTAGCATATTACCCTTCTATTAGTATAGATTAGCAGTGCTTTTAGATAGATATAAAAGTATATACAAATGAAAGGCAAAACATATTTTGATTTTTCTAATACTTGGTAAAACTATGTTTTATATGAATTTTTTTTTATGGTTTTGTAATTAAAACATTTACTTTTTTCATTTCCCCTCTAGGTTATATCGATGTATTTAGTACTTTACGTTCCTCTTGCTTGTACAGACAACATTCAAGAACTCTGAAGAGCATTTGTTCAGATCTTCAGTACTGGCCAGGTATGAAGCAGTGACTTTATTTATTTTGGAAAAAATAGATGTATTTAATAAATTCTGATTTGTTTTTCTTAATGATGCTAATTATTGAAAACATTCATTTGTAGCACACAGTAAAACTTATAGAGTATTTGTTATTTAGTTTGGGTATATCTATGGAAAATATAAAGTAGGAGCTAAATTTTGAATGTGATAAATGCCATAGTAAATCATAGTCTAGGGTACACTTGCTTCAAAAGGACTAAGCACATTTGCTTACTTTCCCTCATTTTCAAAATACTAATGCAAGACAGAAAAAAATAGAAAAATGAGAAAGAAGTCAGGGCAAGAAGAGGGATTTCATAAATGTGTCAGAAATTTGAGGACTTTACATACATCTATAATAATAATAAAAGCATAATATGCTAATTAGACCAGATGCCTGAACGATCTTCCAGACGATGCTGGGGCTGCGAGGGCCGAGCCCCCTTGTATGAATTTTGTGCATTGGGCCTTTAGTAGTTTATAAAGTAGATGGCATCAAATTGCTAGCAAAATCAAATATGCATTTATTCATACTTATTGGTTATCATATGATAACATTATATCAGGCACTAGTGATGGGTTTTAGGTCACAGTGATAAATAAAAATGACAGATGCTCTCTACCTTTATGGAACTCAGATTGATATAAGAGGTCTATACTATTTCCAGTGGAACTTATTAAACCCCCAAAGTTCTAATAAAGTATAATGGGCTCTCGGATGGTTGATATAGTAAACAGTTGAAAGATATAAAGAAATGGGCCAATTGCAGAGCAGATACAGCTTTTAAATTTTAGGCTACAATTGGCAAGAAACACCTTTGCAATACGGGTGTGTGTGTGTGTGTGTGTGTGTGTGTGTTGAGAAGAGTTTGTCTCTGAAGACTCCTGGTTTGAACTCTGATGTTGAAGAGAGAAACAACAGTAGTACTCCAGATTGCTTTTGGACTTGAATCATACACTGAAGGAATCCTGCTCATTCACCATAAGTCTATATTTTATAGTCTAAATGCATTTACCACCTTGGTAGGTTTGAAGAAACCTATCAATGAATTAGCAAGACTCTCCACATATTTGAGGAAAGCTTGCAGCATGAAAGAGATGCATGAAGTTGAGTAACGATCAATAATCCTCTGAAGAAATTGTTAATGCAGAAGACAGAAACATACTTAATAATGATACATTTTTAAATATTCATGGAGACCAAAATTATTAGGGTATGAAGTATATCTTCATTTTCAAAACATTTATAACTCAGAGGTCAGGGTCTCTGATCATACAACAAAACTGAAATCAAATAACAGAAAGGATAGTTAAAAAATAACCTAAATATGTGGAAATTTAAAGATACTTTTCTGAGTTTCTTGTGACTGAAGGGAAATATCAAAATCAAAACTGAAATGACAAACAATTAATAATGAACCACAATGAAAATCTGCATATCAAAATGTTTGGGTTGGTGACATACTGATGTATCAAGCATTGCATAAGCTATTAGGAAATGAGGATGGGAAATAAATCTAATCAACAATCATTTTGAGAATGTTTTAAATATGAGAAATTATTATGGACAAAACAGACATGAAATTAAGTGAATATAACAGCAAGAACATTTTACTTAATGAAATCAAAAACAGCCCTAGCTAGTTTTGCTCAGTGATCAGAGTTTTGGCTCACCTGTGGACTGAAGGGTCCCGGGTTTGAATCTTGGCCCTGGTCAGGACGTGTTTGGCTAGCAACCAATTGATGTATCTCTCTCACATCAATGTCTCTCTCTCTCTCTCTCTCTCTCTCTTTCCTCCCCCCTTCCATTCTCTCTAAAAATCAATGGAAAAATATCTTCCCTTGAGTAAAGATTAAAACAATGAATGAATGAATGATTGAAAGAATGAATGAACAAATGAACGAGCCAAAAACAAATTTACTTTGAAAAAAAATTAAGAAAATAGAACAGACAAATCTGACTAAGAAACAATAAGGAAATACAAACAATATAAGAACTAAAAAGTGAGACCTGCCACAGATAATCCTGTATAATAAAAGGCTAATATGCAAATCAACCGGATGATGGAACAACCGGTGGCTGTGACATGCACTGACCACCAGGGGTCAGGCAGTCAACACAGGAGTTGCCCCCTGGTGGTCAGTGCGCTCCCACAGGGGCAGCACCGCTCAGCCTGAAGCCTGCCTCCCTATCAGTCAGACATCCCCCTAGGGCTCCCAGACTGCAAGAGGGCACAGGCTGGACTGAGGGGACCCCCCACCCCCCAGTGCATGAATTTCATGCACCGGGCCTCTAGTGAAGATTATAAAATTATAAGAATGTTCAGAAAGAGAAAGACAAATACCTTATGATTTCACTCATGTGGAATCTTGAAAAACAAACAATGCAAAAACTCATAGATACAGAGCAGATAAGGAAGGGAACATAGAGGAAGGGAATTGGGAAATAGGCAAAAATGGTGAAGAAGGTCAATTGCATGGTGATAGATAGTAACTAGGTTTTGGGGGGCTGATAATTTTATAGTATGTACAGAAGTCAAATTATAATGTGCACCTGAAATTTATATAATAAAAAATAAAAAAGTTACAAGATCCTGTGTATAGTTTTATATTGTAAATAAAAATGTGTTTGAACATAATTATTCAAGCTATAAACTAGCAAAATTGACACAATAAGAGATAGACAATACTGTAAAAATGGGAAAGTAACAGTTTTGAAATACAATTCCTTTGCCCCAAAGCACTAGGTTGGGATGGCTTTATGGTTATATCCTGTTTTCCAGGATTAGCAGTCTCCTGTTATTTAAAAACTATTTTATTAATAAGGAAAAGATAAAATAGGCTTCCCTGTTTATTTTATGAAATGACTGATACTAAAATATTAGCAACAAAAAATACAAAGGATCGATTTAGCTTAATAATAGAGATACGGAAACCCTAAAATCTGAAAAAGCAAGTTTACAATGTGCTAAAAATTATGATTAAGGAGTAAAAGAGAGAAGAAAAGCAATGTTATTTCAGTGTATGATAAAAAGCTGTGTGATATATTTTAATTGTTGTGCTTCCTAAAGATTCTTAAAAAGTTAGAGTATAAATTTTAATTTCTTAAGGATAGCTCTTGGATCTCATTATTATTAGAAACAAGGTGTGTAATATCCTATGTGCGCAGTAATTTGGAGGTTCTGAGCAATGTTATTAAAAAGAAAAAAAAGGGAATTATATATAAGCTAAAAGAAGGGGGCCCTAGCCGCTTTGGTTCAGTGGATGAAGCGTCTGCCTGCTGACCAAAGGGTCCTGGGTTCGATTCTGGTCAAGGGCATGTACCTCGGTTTCAGGCTCCTCGCTGGCCCGGGTCCTGGTCAGGGCGCATGCAGGAGGCAATCAATTGATGTGTTTCTCTCACATCATTACTTCTCCCTGTCTTTTCCTCTCTCTTCCCCTCTCTCTAAAAATCAATGGAAAAATATCCTCAGCTGAGGATTTAAAAAAAGGGGGAGCAGAATTATAATTTTAGGTAAGATGCTTGTTTATCAGGATATTCAAGAAAATCAACTGAAAGGCTGCTCAAGTAGTAAGAGTTCATTACGTAGATACCATGTAAGATAAATGCATAAATATCAATAGTTATTTTAGCAATAGAGTTTATTTACAGTTTTTTCAAAACCCATTAAATATTTTATCCTGACAAGAAACATGCAACATAATGTATACACACATTATGTGTGTGTGTGTGTGTGTGTGTGTGTGTGTGTGTGTGTGCATAGAAAACTTCACTGAAAGAAGTAAGGGAAGAGCTGAGTAAAATACAAAGAAAAATACCATAATCCTTTATAGAAGGACTTAGTATTATAACAATATCAATTCATACCTAAATTTATCAATTCAGTACAATTCTAGTAAAGACTTGTTATGAAAATTAAGAAGTTGATTTTAAACTTGGATGTAAAACAAAACAAAACAGAATTTGATTTTTTTCTTACATTAAAACAAAAGTTCCAAGTAGGTAAAGGTCTGACAAAAAAAATCAAAGAATTAGATGAAGTCAGTAGACTACCTTTAAAACCATAGTTTGGGTGTTTGAAAGAGCAATAATTTTCAAGTTATTAAAGTGAGAACCTTCAATATCTGATTTCTTTTGTGGGCTTACTAATTTTCTCCATTTTTCTACTTATGATAAAGCACAGTACAGAAGCTCTGCTAGCGTGGCTTAGTGATTGAGCATTGACCTGTGAACCAGGAGGTCATGGTTCTGTTCCTAGTCAGGGTACATGTCCAGGTTGTGGGCTTCATCGCCTGTGGGGGGCGTGCAGGAGGCAGCCAATCAATGATTCTATCTCATTATTCATGTTTCTACCTCTCTCGTCTTCCTTCATCTCTGAAATTAATAAAAAGTACAATGCAAAAAAACTACAGATTAAAAGATAGGGCTACATTAATTTTATAAATTACTGTATCAATTAAGAGACAAAGACATTAAAATAAATGTATGAAATAAATTTAACTGAAGGGTAGTATACATGACATCCATATTCTGCAAATGAAAATATGTGCACAGGTCATGCATGAGTAGTCAATTTACTAAAGAAATAAAAATAATAAAAACTTTTTTTTTTTCAAATTTTACTCTCACTTCTATTCCAAGATGCAAATGAAAACAAAATACTACTTTTTGTCCATCAGATTTGTACAAATTAACAAGATTTATATTACCCATTGTTGCAAAGGCTGTGGAGAAAAGGATAATCATATTCATTGGTGGGTGTATAAATAGATAATAGCTTTCTAGAGGGCAATTTCTTAAGTGTTAAACCATGTAAATCTTACAGTTTTACTTTTAGGATTTTAGTCTGCATGTACTGTAAGAAAATAGGCATAAGAATTTTACTGCAGCATTATTTTTAGCAATAAAAAATAAGAAGCGCCTTAGCTGGTTTGCTCAGTGGATAGAGCGTTGGCCTGCAGGCTGAAGGGTCCTGGGTTCGATTCCAGTCAAGGGTACATGCCCAGATTTCGGGCTGGATCCCCAGTAGGGAGTATGCAGGCGGCAGCCAGTCAGTGGTTCTCTCTCATCATTGATGTTTCTATCTCTCTCTCCCTCTCCCTTCCTGTCTGAAATCAATAAAAATAAATTTTTTTAAAAAATAGGAAGCAACTAATGTCTGGAGTAGAGAAATGGTTAAATAAATTGCTTTACCCAGATAGAAAATTGGAAAACTATAAACAGCCATTAAGCTGAATGTACTGTCTGACCTATTTTGAAAATGTCCATGATATATTAAGTGAAAGAAAACAATGGCAGAAAGGTATGCACTATTTTTATAGAAAGAACATGTGTTTAAACACATAGAAGTATAGTCATGGAATTGTTAATCAAAACTGGTTACTTATAGGAAGTAGGAGTGGGATTTGAGGAATTAGGAGACACTGATTTTTATTTGATACTCATCTGTGTTTTGTTTTTTACATTTTTAAATTACCAAAATAGAAGTAAAGTCGATTACATAGATCAATCCATTTTAATGACAAGTGTGTTGAAGTGTCAGGGAAAGAACTATTAAAAAATAAGATGAAGACCTAGGATGTACAGGTCTGGTGTCAGCATTTTGAATCTTAGGCATAATTCTCTTCTTGTACAAAATGTACAATGAGAAGTAAATGTGACACTGTTTCATTCAGTTTTCATACAGTCTCGGAGTTTTAAAACGTTAAAATCAAGGACACGACGTCTGCAGTCCACCTCTGAAAGATTAGCAGAAACACAGTATATAGCACCATCATTTGTGAAGGTAATTAGACCATTTTTGTTTGTTTGTTTGATAGAGCAATAATTTTCAAGTTATTAAAATGAGAACCTTCAATTTCTGAGTTCTTTTGCAGGCTTATTAATTTTCTCCATTTTTCTACTTATGATAAAGGATGAATATCCTGTGTAATCCTAACTACAACTCTTCTGGGTGTCAGACTTATCTCTCCACTGGCCTTTAAGACATCTCACTCTATTTCTTCTCCCTACCAACCTATACCTGCTTATGAGTAGCATCCACTCAAGCTAGTAGCCTGCTGATCAACTTTGATGTGTCCATCTTTTATCTCCCACATCCATTAATCACTAAGTCCTATTGATCATTAAAATCCTGTTGATCCAACCCAGCCTCTTAAATCTCTTTTTATCCCCTCCCAGTTCTGTTGCATAGACTATTACAGTAATCTAGGCAAGAAATGGTTACAGGCACTCACGTAGTCTCCATGCCTTTAGTTTTACTACCTTCAGTTTAGCCTCCAGACTGCCACCCACCAGTCCGTCTAAAATGTATTACATGCCATAATTGTATTCCCCTGCTTTATTGTCACCTGCCATGATACACAAGGCATGTTATTGTTTGTTCTCTTGCTCACATTTTTTTGTTCTCATCTCTCAATGTGTAACCCCCTCTGTACCCCTACCGTCCTCTTTTGGCATTTTAGAGTCCTGTCACATAATCGTGTAGTTCTTCAGCTCTAAAGACTGTTGTTTCATGCCTTTTTAGATTGTCCATGCTGTTTGTTCTCTGTGGCTAAGATATCCCATTCTCTGAAAGGCCTTTCTTGACTTCCTTAGGTAGCATTTAGTTTACCACCATACCTAGTACTTCTAATATAATGCCAAAACTTTATATATCTCTCCCCAATAGATGGAAAACATTCAGATAATTGTTTATTCATCAAAGGAGTTTGAACATCAAGCAATTAGAACCCTAAGTCAACCTATTTTAAGTATAGTGTTTTTGCAGAGAATTTCTTGATTGACATAGGTATAGGATCCACTGTTAGTTTCCTAGCCATTGCTAAGTAATTTATTACTGGGTTTTTATAAAATTTGTCACACTAACAAGATTAAAAAATTCTAGAATTTCAATAAATTTTTGAGTGTGTGAGTGGTCAGAGTATTTCTGGGGAGTGTTACTACCTTTTACAGTTAGTTAATACTAATGAATTGCTTGTGTATTTAGGGATTTCTTTTGCGGGACAGGGGATCAGATGTTGAGACTTTGGACAAACTCATGAAAACCAAAAACATACCTGAAGCTCACCAAGATGCATTTAAAACTGGTTTTGCAGAGGGTTTTCTGAAAGCTCAAGCACTAACACAAAAAACCAATGGTAAGCTAATTTGACATTCATGTTTGAAGAGAGTATATGAAAGGAAGTCAAAGTTCTCCCTTCAAGTGATTATGAATAACTTTTCTACTACTTATCCAGTTTTTAATTGTTTATATTGTATTATGTTTATAACTGAAGTTGTGCAGAAATGGAAATATCTGCTAGTATTTTCCCTTTCTCAACTGAGAAACCAAAGTCAAGGCTTTATGAAGTTTTTGGTAGCAAGGTGCTAAAAGGAAATTATGGCAATTATGCAAAAGAACACCAGGTCCCAAAATTGTGTGTGATGAAATATGATTACCATCAGTAACCTAATGTTTGCATCTCATTGAGCTGTCATTTCTCATTGATATCATTTGATTTACGGCTTTTTCTTTCTTCTCCAGATTCTCTAAGACGAACTCGTCTGATTCTCTTTGTTCTGCTGCTATTAGGCATTTATGGACTTTTAAAAAACCCATTTTTATCTGGTAAAGTTTCTTTTTATTTATCTGATGTACTAATTTAATCTTAAAAATATTTCACATACTCATTTCTTTTTCATAGTCTATTTAATATTTAAGACTTAAAGAAAGAAAACTTTACACTGATTTGTGGATTACAAGAAAAGTTTCTTTAGGCACTGTACAAATTCAGTTTTGCGCATTTTGAGAAAATAATGTTTTGTGAAAGTTCCAAGGATTGTGTTAGAGTGAAAATGTTATTTCAACTTCTAGTAGTGATAGTGGTTGGTTTCCTAGATTTTAATCCTCACAGAGGTTCACTATTGTTTTGTTTGTTTTTTTTAAAGAGAGGAAGAAGGGAGACAGAGAGAGAAAGAGAGAGAGAGAACATCGATCAGTTGCCTCCTGTGTATACACACCTCTACCAGGGATTGAAACTGCAACCTAGGTATGTGCCCTTACCGGGAAACAAACCCTAAACTTTTTGGAGTATGGGATGACGCTCCAACCAACTGAGCCACCTGGCCAGGGATATCTATACCGGTCCAATTATTAAGTTAAAAAAACATGTAGCAGAATTTTATAATAGCAGTACAAAGTGATACAGTTATTTTAAAGACAAATTAATAAGTTGAATCGATTAAAAATTACTTTATATAAAATTAAATGTGTCCTATAGTTTTTTAGTTTCCCAATCTAAAATGAAGTAATAATGTGAGGTTTAAGTGGCTCTAATTGCTTTTTCAACTACTATTTTTATTTTCTTTGTGATTACCTTGAGAGAAAAAAACTGATGTTTTATTAAGAACATCAGTTGATTTGGATCAGGACTTCATCCTAGAACTTGCATGTAGCCTGAGATATTTTTAAAGTTTTTGTGTGACATGAAACCTGAGACAGGGTTTTTAACATCCAGAAATCGCTTTTACATCTAGATTCACCATCTCATGCTTCCTTCTGTTTTAAAAAAAGAACCAGTGTCCGGCTGGTGTGGCTCAGTGGTTGAATGTTGACCTATGAACCAGGAGGTCGAGGTTTGATTCCCAGTCAGGTCACAAGCCTGGGTTGCAGGTTCTATCTCTCTCTCTGTCTCCCTCTCCCTTCCTCTCTGAAATCAATAAAAAATATACAGGAATATTTTTTTAAAAACCCAGTATAGGATAATAGAGTGGGTTGTTAGAGGGAGGGATGGCTTGACCTCTGATTTTTTTTTTTTTTAAATTAATGGCTTACATTAAGCAAAACATGTTACAGTATGAAATGCACTGCCTTAGGGTAATAACTCTAATTTTTTATTAGGTCCAGCTGTTTCTGCTGCAGATTTATTAAAGTCTTAAAAAGTAATTTAGTGGGCTAAACTAATTATGCGTATTCTAGAATTACTATTTTAAATCTGTTCTCCCGACTTGTATGCTCTTGATTTGCTAAGTATTTCTTGTTAATCCTAAGTTTTTGCCTGCTCACTTTTGGCTTTTATATTTCAGTATCCTAAAGATAATATTTGTGACTTATTTTGAGGAAATTAGAAATTGCTTAGTTTACTCATTTATATCTGTCTAGTCTGGAAGTTTACCAAAGGGGGAGAGGTTTAAGAAAGCTTTTTGTTGCCTAGTTGATTTGTTCGTTTCCCCATAGTTGATCCCAGATATTTTACTATTCTATCAAACTTTTACTATCTGTTTTTTAAAAATATATTTTTATTGATTTCAGAGAGGAAGGGAGAGGGAGAGAGAGATAGAAACATCAATGGTGAGAGAAAATCATTGATTGGCTGCCTCCTGCACGTCCCCTACTGGGGATCAAGCCTGCAACTCCGGGCATGTGCCCTTGATCTGAATCGAACCCAGGACCCTTTAGTCTGTAGGCGGATGCACTGAGCCGAACCAGCTAGGGCTTTTACTACCTTTCTTATTCTTAGCGATATCATTATTGATAAGTCATCTAACAGCATATAATAACAGTTGTCAGAGGAAGAAGTTTATTTAAAAAGTGCAGCTGTTAAGTTTCACTTTTTTATTTTTAAATGCCTAGATTTGTATGCTATGTTATGGCAAAATATTTCAAAGTGTAGATCCCTGACTGGTTGTATCACGATAACTGAAGATGATTGTTAAAAATGCAAACTCTACAGTGCCCTTTTCCTAAATCTACAAACCAGAACTTCTGTGCCATGGCCTGAGAACCTGCATTAACATACTTCAAGTGATGTTTATGCATTCTGGAGTTTGAGAACCATTGATTTAAGATTTCTGTCATTGGCTATTACAAGAAGAGGAATATAATCCTTAATTTTAATTGGAAAATACAATGATGTAATTTCAATGTGAGTCATTTATTCCTTGAATATGGTCCAGAAATCCAAAAAACTTAGTGTTTACTCCTCACTCTAATTTAGTGTATGTGAAGTTAGATATATAATTTGTTTGGGCTTTGCTTTCTTGCTTAGGAAAAAATAAGGTGGTTGGAATTATATGAATCTTTTAAACATATGAACGTTTTCTTTCAGTCCGCTTCCGGACAACAACGGGGCTTGATTCTGCAGTAGATCCTGTCCAGATGAAAAATGTCACCTTTGAGCATGTTAAAGGAGTAAGTTAAAAAGTTTACCTTCACCTCTTTAAACATTAACTGTATAAGGTCAATATTTTATTTTAAAGGTGTGAATAATAGAAAATATATATATTGGTCTCTGCACCCAGTACCTGGAGCAGAGCTCCTAAAACACTCATAATTTCCTATGTGATGAGAGAACTGGGAGCATCTTTTCTTCAACTATTTGGCCTTAGAGCACTTCCTGACACAGAGCTTCTAAATCCCTTGGAATTTCTTGGATGATAAGGAGTGTCTTCTGTCCTAATGAGGTGTCTGTTGGTGGGCGATGAGGGCTGGTTACCGGAAAGACCAAGCCATCATTAGAAGCTTGGAGTGCATAGATCTAATCCTTGAGTGAATGGAATGGTTCACTGCTAGTTCATAGGCAATTAATTAAATCATTGGTTTGACAAATAATTAATGGTGTCTTTTAAGTGCCAGTCCCTGTTTTACGTACTGGGATAGAAGAACTGAAAAAAATCTCTGATCTCATGGAGTTTTAATTCTAACAGGAATTGGACAAGGATATATGGTATATAAGGAAATAATAGATATTAAGTGATAAAGGATGATGGTGGAAAATAGAGCAAGGTGTAAAGAGGATGGGGAGTTCTGGGATAAAGGTCACAGTTTTATTATTTTTAAAATTTTATTTTTCAAACGACAGCTTATATTCAGTATTATTTTGTACTAGTTTCAGGTAGACAGTATAGTGGTTAGACCAGTGATGGCGAACCTCTGACACGCGTGTCAGAGGTGACACGTGAACTCATTTTTTTGGTTGATTTTTCTTTGTTAAATGGCATTTAAATATATAAAATAAATATCAAAAATATAGCCCTAACCTGTTTGGCTCAGTGGATAGAGCGTCGGACTCAAGGGTCCCAGGTTTGATTCCGGTCAAGGGCATGTACCTTGGTTACGGGAACACCCCAGTAGAGAGTGTGCAGGAGTCAGCTGATCGATTTTCTCTCTCATCAATGTTTCTAACTCTCTATCCCTCTCCCTTCCTCTCTGTAAAAAATCAATAAAATATACTTTTAAAAAATATATAAATCTTTGTTTTACTATGGTTGCATAAATAAAAAAATTTCTATATGTGACACAGCACCAGAGTTAAGTTAGGGTTTTTCAAAATGCTGTCACGCCGAGCTCAAAAGGTTCGCCATCACTGGGTTAGACCATCCTCTTGATATTTTCAACACCTACTTGACACCATACATAGTAATTGGAACATTGTTGACTATATTCCCTATGTTGTACTGTATATCCCCATTATTTTTTTGTGACTACCAGTTTGTACTTCTCAATTCCTTTACCTTTTTCATCTATTTCCCAACTCTAATAGCCTGTGGCAACCAGCCATTTTTTTCTCTATATCTATGAGTCTCTTTCAGTTTTGTTTGTTCATTTATTTTTTTTTTAAGATTCCACACATAAGTGAAATTATATGGTATTTATCTTTCTCTATCTGACTTATTTCACTTAGCATAATACCCTCTAGATCAGTGATGGCGAACCTTTTGAGCTCGGCGTGTCAGCATTTTGAAAAACCCTAACTTAACTCTGGTGCCGTGTCACATACAGAAATTTTTTGATATTTGCAACCATAGTAAAACAAAGATTTATATTTTTGATATTTATTTTATATATTTAAATGCTGTTTAACAAAGAAAAATCAACCAAAAAAATGAGTTCGTGTGTCACTCTGACACGCGTGTCACAGGTTCGCCATCACTGACCTAGGAGCTCTATCGGTAAAGATATTGCTACGACATCTGTCTGATATTTTGCTGCTTATGGATTCTTCCAAGATTTTTTATGGTTTCCTGTCTTATATTCTCAGTCTCTTAATGGGAATCAGAAATTGCACACTGTGGGGCAAGGTGTTTTCCAATAGGGTGGGTCAACTGTTTTCCCCTCAAGGGCAAGACTGACTATTGCAATTGTCTGTGTGAGAAAGATAACCTCTGCAGTATGAGGAAATGATTTAGCACAGGAAACCGTGGTGTCTGCCTTCTGAGCTCTAATCCCAGATCCCCCAACCCTGGCTTCTGCTCACACAGCTCCAGTCCACTCCAGTCCCTCTGCTGGAGCACAGGGTGAGTGACTGACTACACATGGAAATTTGTGTGTTGTCCCTTAAGAGGGTGCTGGCTTTTCCAGCTGTCTCTCTCTTGCAGGCAACAAACCTGCTGCTTTTCACTGTCAGATATTATGTAGGCACCCTTTTCAGTTCTGGTGCTCTCTACTTGGGGGTCCATCTTGGGGATTAGACCCCAGATTTCTCAATGTCAATCCCCCACAGCTGAGATATCTCTCTGGTATTTCAGTTGTTGACTGGGAGCCCCACCAGCCCTTTCGCACCTCAACTCATCCTACAAGTCTCTATGTAGTCTCCACTTTCCATTCTCAGTTATCAGGGTTCTCTCCAGCCAGTCTTCAGTTGATTATTCAGGAAGTTTTTCTGTATTTTATTTGTAATTCCATGTAGCATACACTTACTCCACTCCCATTTTTAATCAACCTAAACCTCTCTCTGCTTGGCTTCCTCTGTAAAAGATTTATATATATAAACTTGAAATGATTTCCAGTGTCCAAGATATACTACGTTTAAAAAAAAAAAAAGCAAAATCTCTAGCCTTCTCAGCCAGGAAGGAGGGACAGTTCCATTTTTAATTTTTAGTTTTTCAAAGAGCATGGATTCTACCCAAGTTGCCTTTATATATATATTTAAATTTTATTGGTTTTAGACAGAGGAAGGGAGAAGGATAGAGAGATAGAAACATCAATGAAAAACATCTATCAGCTGCCTCCTGTATGACCCCTACTGGTGATCAAGCCTGCAACCTGGGCATGTGCCCTGGCTGGAAATTGAACCGTGACTTCCTGGTTCATGGGCCAATGCTCAATCACTGGCCGGTCACATTTTTAACTTTTTAAAGAATATATATATTTTATTGATTTTTTTTATCGAGAGGAAGTGAGAGGGAGGGATAGAGAGTTAGAAACATCAATGAGAGAGAAACATCAATTAGCTGCCTCCTGAACACTCCCTACTGGGTATGTGCCCGCAACCAAGGTAAATGCCTTTGGCCGGAATTGAACCTGGGACCCTTGAGTCTGCAGGCCGATGCTCTTTCCACTGAGCCAAACCGGTTAGGGCCATTTTTAACCTTTTGAGGAAACTCCATACTGTTTTCTATAGTGGCTGCATCAATCAACATTCCCACCAACAGTACCAGAGGTTCACTTTTCTCCACATTCTCACTATCACCTGTTTGTTGATTTATTGTTGACAGCCATTCTGATAGGTGTGAAGTGATACCTCATTGTCGGTTAATTTGTATTTCAATAATTAGTGACATTAAGCATCTTTTTCTATACCTGTTGGCTATCTGTATATCCTCTTTGGAGAAGCATCTATTTAGGTCCTCTGCTCATTTTAAAATTTGATTGTTTTTCTGGTGTTGAGTTGTATGAGTTTTTAGTAAATTTTTTATAGTAACCATTTATCATGGAATTGAATGTTGTTCTTTTATTCAGTAGATTGTCTTTTCGTTCTTTGATGGTTTCCTTTGCTGCTCAAAAAACCTTTCAGTTTGATGTAATCCCATTTGTTTACTTTTTCTTTTGTTTCTCTTTTCAGAGGCAATAAAGTAGAAAAAAACTTTGCTGCGAGAAATGTTAGAGAGTTTATTTTTGTATTTTCTAGTCTTCTTTGTCAAATATTACTTGCCCATAGAGGCTAGAGTTTATTTCTGGGCTCTCCATTCTTTTCCGTTGATCTTTATGTTTATTTTTAAGTCGTTTTTTTTAAAAATTAAATCTTTATTGTTCAGATTATTACAGTTGTTCCTCTTTTTCCCCCATAGCTCCCCTCCACCCAGTTCCCACCCCACCCTCTGCCCTTACCCGCCCCCCCCACTGTCCTCATCCATAGGTGTATGATTTTTG